TGAAATGACACATTGGCTATCAAAACAAACAACATTAGTACTACCATCAAGGGGGTACAATTGCTATCAAAATAATCAATATTATTAGTACCATCAAGGTGGCACAATGTCTATCAATATAACAAACATTAGTTCTACCATCAATTTGGTATAATGACTATCATCAAGATGGTACTATAGCTGTCAAAATAACCACCATCTTACTATCATCAATTTGGTACTATGGCATTAATACTACGATCAAGTGGTAAATGGCTATCCACATAACCAGCACGGTAGTAAAATGACTATCAAATTAATCAAAATTATTGCTACCATCGAGTTGGTACCATGACTATGGAAATAACCAACATTAATTCTACCTGTCTATATTTCTGAAATGAGGTATTATGTACATTATTTACATTATTCGGACTATTGTCCTCATCTTGGTCGGCATATTTATTACAACGTTTCGGCCGTTGTACGCTCCGGCCTTCTTCAGATGGTTGGAATGTCGAACTTAACCCTTTATTTAATTAGTCCTACCATCAATTTAGTAAAATACTTATCAAAATAACCAACATTATTACTAACATCTATTTGGTACATGGCTCTCAAAGCAACCAACCTTAGTACTACCACCAAGTTGGTACACTGGTGATCGAAATAACCAACATCTATACTACCATGATATTGGTACAATGGCTATCAAAATAAGAAAACATTATTACTACCATCAAAATGGTAAAATGACTATCGAAATAATCAATATTAGGACAACCACCAATGTATGACAGTGACTAAAAAATAATTAACATTAGTATTACATCTAGATGGTATAATAGCTATGGAAATAGCCAATAGTAGTACTCCCATCAATTTGGTACAATGGATATCAATGTAACCAATATTAATGCTACCATCAAGTTGGTACAATGGCCCTCAAAATATCCAACATTATTACTACCATCAAGGTGGTACAATGACTATCGAAATAAACAACATTCGTACGACCATCAATGTGTTAAAATAGCTATCAAAATAACCAAATATTATTACTATGATCAAGGGGGTACAATGTGTATGAAAATAACCAACATTAATACTATCATCAATTTGGTACAATGCCTATCAAAATAACCAACTGTAGTATTACCATCAAGTTGTTACAATTGCTATCAATATGACCAATATTAATACTAAGTGTGGCACAATGACTATTAAAATAAAGAACATTATTACTACCATCAAGGTGGTACAAAGACTATCAAAATTAGCAACATTAGTACTACAATCAATGTGGTACAATGTCTATCAAAATAACCAATATTATTACTACCATCAGGGTGGTGCAATAGTTACCAAAATAACCATCATTATTACTACCATCAAGGTAGTATAATGACTATCAAAATAACCAATATCTTTACTACCAACAAGTTGGTACAATTGCTATTAAAATAACCAACATGAATACTACCATCAAGGTGGCACAATGGCTATGAAAATCACTAACATTTGTTCAACCATCAAGGGGGTAAAATTGCTATCAAAATAACAAACATTAGTACTACTATCAATTTGGTACAATGTCTATCAAAATAGCCAACATTATTACTAACATCAGTTTGACACGATGGCTCTGAAAGCAACCAACATTATTACTACAATCAAGTTGGTACAATTACTATCAAAATATGCAACATTAATACTACCATCAATTTGGTACAATGTCTATCAATATAACCAATATTAGTCCTACCATTAATGTGGTACGATGACTATCAAAAGAACCAACATTTTTACTACCATCAATTTGGCACAAATTGATAACCAACATTACTATTCCCATTAAGGTGATATAATGACTATCAAAATAATCAACATTAGTACTACCATCTCGGTGCTACAATGGTTATCAAATCTATTTTCATAGATATTTCTTGACATGGCAAATAATAAATATTGTGTTGTAGTCAGTTCTCATATTTCTATAAACTTGAAAAATAAACTATTGAAAAATTGTTTTATAAAATAGTGTTTAATATTTTAGTTGCCAATTTTCGAGGAAAAATACAGTTTGTATAAAAGCCAGTTTCATCTGGTTTTACTAATATAGTACAAATAGCTGTTCAAGAAAAAAAAATTCTTTCGATGGAGTCTACAATAATGCTGGTGTCAAGAGAAACACCCTCTTTTTGACGCCATTTTTTTTTTGCAAGGCGTATGTTAAACAAAAGCTGAAATGAAAAGTTGAGAGAAAATAAAATAAAAAGGTTTCTAGTGGTAAATGTATCTATTTTTATGGAAATATAAAATTACCTCTCTATCGAAAGTTCATTGAGTCGCAAAATATTTTTACTTGAATTGTGAATTGAAGGATTTAGACATCAATTTCGTTTTCTGTCAGTCTTGCTGTTGCCATTTTGGGATTGCAAAACAGTTTTGAAAAGGTGTATGTATACATTTTTTTAACGTATATTATATTTATTGATCTGCGCATACAAGAACACTTGAGGAAGGGGGATTCAAGTTCAAATCCTTCCCGAGAGCACATTTTCTTTATTTAGTTTTATTTAATGCGTACGTCAATGTACACTGTTTAAAATTTAAAAAAAAATCAGAGGATCTGTTTCAAATATGGTTGTCTACTAAAAATAACACTTGAAGTAATAATAGTAATAATGTGAGAGTAAAAATAGAACCAATATTTCTATATAAGTAGACCTATAATTTGATACAGATATAATATGTCATTCGCAGACAGTACTGTTTCGCTGTATCACAGCTCCTCTGTGCGATTAGGCATCCGGACGCCTCAAGCCAGGACTGAAACCCGACCGATTTGGTGTCAGTTGGAGTTTCTACCCCTAAACCGTGAGCACTCGGCAGAGAGAAACTGCTAATTCTAGCGTATTGTTTTACGAAAGTAAACAAACGCTAGTCAGCCAGAGTGCTCCTATTCATTTACTGAAGAGCTTTGCGTTAGCGTAGACGTCTACTGTTTATAGAATTAGCCTATCTCTCAACAGTGCTCAACTAAAATATATTTTTAAGAGCTTTATTTTGTCATTTTGTATAAATAGATATAAATAAAATAGTTAATTTTGTATATAATATAGATATGAATAAAATAGACTTCCAAACAATTCCAAAGATAAATGCAGGAGATTTGATACTTTTTATGATTTATTTATGTATGTACCGGCTTACAAGATGCTGCGACTTGTAAGACGCACCCTAATACCGGAAGGATATTTCTCAGAAAAAAAGTCATTCTCATACAACAACACATTCGCCATGTGTCCCTCACATACTGGCGCCACATTTTGTTTACATTAATCACTCGTCCGATTTTGTTTGCATGGCAATGACATATTAGTCAAGAGCAGAAAGGCTTCCGCCGCCGCTAGTAAGCAGAGCATGTTTAAGCTTTTGGCTCGGCTCCAGGAAGGTTTTTAATCTTGGAAATACTTTAACAGCTAAGTAGTGAGGTTACACCATATAAATGTTTGAATTAGCTAAGTTTACACTGTAATGACTCAACATACAAATCCATGTCCCTATCAATCAAGCCAATTTGGTGACCATCCAAGCTTACTTGAGCCTGGGCATTGCTTTACATTTGTCTTGGAAGATGCACACGTATTTCTCTGGGTATTTTTTATGAAAAAAGTGCGTCTTTTAAGCCATAAAATACAGTGACTTACATTTATGGGTACCAGTGAATATATATAAAAGTTTACAACTTTGGTCAACAATCTACAGATGGTGTCACACTAAAAACATCCAGCCTGAAAAATCACATTGACTGAAGTTCTTAACAAAAAAAAAAAAAGAAATAACTTAAGTCAGTTTGCGATTTTTCACGAGCAGAAACAGCACAACATTTTCGTTATTTTCAGAAAAAATGAAAACTTGAGGGAAGTTAGAAAAAAATGAAATGCAAACTTGAGAGAAGGTAGAAAATAAGATAAAAATATTTCTACTTGCAAATGTATATATTTTTATGAAAATGTAAAATTATATCTCTACCAAAAGTTCATTGAGTCGCAAAATATTTCTACTTGAATTGTTAATTGGAGGATTTTGACATCAGTTTCGTTTGCTGCCATTATTGCTTTTGGCCTCTAATGGGAGGTGTATGTATATATTTGTTTGACTGGTTGATTTTAAAAAAAATAATGCTTGTCATGTATTTTGTGCTTGGATGTGATCGCTACATTTTGCAATTTTATCTCGTTTATAACGAGGATGATTGCTATATTTTAAGAAAATATTTACAAATTGCATTTAGTTTTAGAATTTACTATATTTATACGAAATTAAATGTCGTTTACGTTGTCCGAAAGAGAAGTGAACTGACGCGGATATTCGACCGGAAATAATAAAGAGAAGCGATAACGTTGCAGAAAGAAAATGGAAAAAATAAAAATGGTGAAGGAAGAAAAGTTGTGTTTCAATGGCGGAAGAAAATTTTAAATGGGAAATGGGCGGGAATATTTCATTAGATAGATTTGCGAAGAATCAGTTTGAAAGGACGAAGAAAGATCGGGCGTAAAGATGTTATTGGCAGCTCATTTAATGGCTCGTTAGACAATAACAGTTAAAAGTCATTTTTTTTATCCGCTGTCAATGTGGGGCAACCGCTTACACACGCATATCGCACGAAGCGTTTGTTGTCCAAAAATGGATGCGTTATTATCGTTTTTTTCCCCCGATCAATTTGCCACTGTCGGTGAAAAATAAATTTATGAAAACCCAAAAATGAAGAATATTGCCGATAAATTCAGAGCAACGTTCAACATTTCAACCTAAACAGAATGAGTTGGGGGTGGGGGAGAAGTTTTCATTTGCGTTTTGAGGGATTCAACGGAAATATTTATTACCTGTTTTCGAAGCTTGAAAAAAAAACTTCTTACGGAGCAACGCTACAGTGAGTAACTGGCTTGTTTGAATGTCACTTCGGAACAGAGAAAAATTATTTAGGCAAGGAACTCAAGTAATAAATTTACTACATGGCAATGCCCGTCCTACAACACAATAAACGGTTATTGGTTCTATCTATCTATCTATCTATCTATCTATCTATCTATCTATCTATCTATCTATCTTATTCCTTCGTATCTATCTATCTATCTATTTTATTTTTTCGTATCTATCTATCTATCTATTTTATTTCTACGTTTCTATCTATCTATCTATCTATCTATCTATCTATCTATCTATCTATTTATTTCTTCGTATCTATCTACCTATTCTATTTCTTCGTATCTATCTATCTATCTATCTATCTATCTATTTTATTTCTTTGTATCTATCTATCTATTTTATTTCTATCTATCTATCTATCTATCTATCTATCTTATTTCTTTCTATCTATCTATCTATCTATCTATCTATCTATCTATCTATCTATCTATCTACATTCTATTCATATCTATCTATCTATCTATCTATCTATCTATCTATCTTCTTTCTTTCTTTCTATCTATCTACCTATCTATCTATCCCATTCTACTCACTATCTATCTATCTATCTATCTATCTATCTATCTATCTATCTATCTATCTATCACATCCTGTATCTACTTTCAGCAATTTTTATATCATCTAAAGCAACACTTACACACCATTTATTATGGCAGTATAATAAAAATGTAATCCATGAAAATGGCTCACAGTTTAACTGAGAGGGCAGGGAGCCAACAAATCTCTACAAGAGAAAATGCTTGCAGGCATAAAAGGAACAACATCATAAAAAAGTATACAACATTGTTAGTATTGTTCATCAAAATATCTATTAAAGATAGGTTGTTGCTCAAATACACAACTATATATAACAAAAAGAAAAAACAAGAAATCTTTTATACCAACGCGTTTCGCTCGTTGAAGTAATTTATCAAGGCAAGTATGGCAATTTTATTTGGTAACCTGTATTGATACACAGAAGTAATGCGGAAAATGATGTAATGAAAATGCATACACCTGGGTTACCCCTCACAGTAATATGATTGACTGGTGTCAGCTATAAATACAGACTGATGTGGACGCCTATTGACTACGCCTATAGTCTTCGCCTATTGCCTACAGCTATTGCTTACCACTACGACGAGGACCAGTCCATTACGGTTACCTGCTAGATTGTCCTACCCGGTTACAGTAGTCAACAACCACTTTGCTACTTCGAACAAATATATCCCTTTCCGGGACATATCAAAAAAATATCGTTATGTTTTCAAATTTTGAATTATAGAACGCGTTAAAGTATTCTTAACCCATTGAGCCCTGCGTTTCTGAACAATTTTAACCCTTCTGTCTGAGCTCCTGAATCAAAATTCGCAAATAATTGGTATGTAATGTTTCACAATAGACATAAAAATAGTTAAAAGTGTTTGCCCACTGTTCAACAGGAGGCTGGGCATTATGTCATTTTTCTTTACCACCATTTAACCGTTAGCTGGGCATTAAGTCACTTTTCATTACCACCGTTTAACCGGTGGCTGAGCATTAAGTCATTTTTCTCTACCACTGTTCAAACGTTAGCTGGGCATTAAGTCACTTTTCTTTACCACCGGTTAACCAGTTGCTGGGCATTGTTATTTTTCTCTGCCACCGTTCAACCGTTAGCTGGGCATTAAGTCACTTTTCTTTACCACCGTTTAACCGGTGACTGGGCATTAAGTCATTTTTCTCTACCACCGTTTAACCGGTGGCTGGGCATTGTTATCTTTCTCTACCACCGATTAAGCGGTGGTCAGGGCTCAAAGGGTTATATCTTTCCGTGTAAAGAAAGGTAAAATATGGAGGACGTAATTTTTGGCCTATTAAACAAAAGTGAAAGTGAAAGTGAAAATATTGTTATAGATTGTTGTTACTGATTGTTATCGGTAAGAACAACAGCAACAGCATCAACTCACTTTAGGAAAAAAATGACATCACTTAGCATGCTCTCTGTAATATTTCTCGTCATGATCTGAATTATTTTTTATTTGTTCATCATTAACGACTACAGGTCTGCAGGAATATTCTTGGTCTTCCAGATCAAAAAATTCCACTTATAGCGAACCAACGACGGATAATACTCCCAGCTATGAGTTCTCCATAAATGGCACAAATCTTTTTGCTGCTGATAGAGCGGTTTTTTTCTTTTCTAGAAAAAATGTAAAACGTTTTTGTGATTTCGATCGCTAGAACATCCACAGGTCCGTACGATATTTCACCTTTCTTGGCAGATTCTCTATCATCACAATGTGGGATATTAAATAATGTATGGATAGAAAAGGCGATTATCTCCCTTTGGTTGAGATGAATTCCTGCGAGCCACGTGACGGCTGCTTAGTGACGTGACTTCACAGAGTGACGACAGTGAGTAGTAAGTCAGCTTCTAGGAGTCACACCGCATAGCGGCTTTTTAGGCCAATCTGTTCCCTCCCGGCAAGCTGGCATGTGGTGCCGTTAGCGTTGCTTTTCTATGTAGCATGTCTTCACTAGATATTGAAATTATCTCCGGCTCGCAGTACTGACTCATAATATATATATATATATATATATATATATATAAAAAAAAGAGAGAGAAACCGCAAACGTTTTTGGTTGTAATGTGGATTTAATATATATATATATATATATATATATATATATATATATATATATTATGCTTTATTTTCCATAATTGTGCAACACGTGTTTCGGCTCTCGCGACCTTCTTCAGGCAAAGAGTGGATATTTCCATATATTAAAATGAATTAATTTTCCTTATGTTTTTCGATGTTAAACATTCTCGATGTTAAACATTCTCTTTTTTGTGTGGTAGTGACAAAAATGTCTTTCTTGAACTGGCTGTGAGAAAGTTCATCTGCTTGAAGGGGAATAAAACAATTAAGATTGGTCCGAGAAAAGATATCCGTATTCTTATCTTTTAATGACCCCCTATGTGCTCTTAGATCTATTTCTATTTTTTGTATTGTGCGTGTTTTTGTTAGTATGCGCATGTTTATGTATATTCCCTCTCCATACATACTGTCTTATTATAAGGAATTAATATACACATACATACATACACACACACACACACATATATATATATATATATATATATATATATATATAAACACATATACACACTTCCAATGTTGTGTAGGGTTCGTGTGTGTGTGTTTGTGAGTAGTCTATTTAGTATTCTATGTGTATATATATTCGTGCTCCTCCTCACAGATGCATGTTCATGCATGTGGTTCGACCACTGTATTTGGCCATTATGCATGCATATATATATATATATATATATATATATATATATATATATATATACGTTTCATTAAATAATATAGACAAGTGTTGTCTATTTATTTTATGTAATTTTTTTTAGTAACGTCTGATAAATTTAATAACATTATCGTTGAACGAAGAAAGAAATTCACAATATTGATCCGTAGTTTTTTTAATACAATCTAAGCTTTCGGCTTACATAAGCCATTATCAAAGATGTCAATTACAATATATTAAGTAATATACGGGCACGACAGTGATGATAGTTTATCAATATTTACATAGATGATTTCTAAGCAACGATAAACACGCGCATATAAGACGCTAGAAGCGAAAATCGCACCGCATCACATGACGTCACACATGATACACTCTCCCAAAGGGCACTTGAATTTATAAAGTCAAGTGCCCTTTGGGAGAGTGTATCTCCAACGAATTAAATAATATTTATGTTGGTCACACGACAAACTCGCTTTCACGACGCTTGACACTACATTTGAATGAAAACTCTAACTCTGCCCGCACACACAATTCTGTAAAATACTTGTGGAAAAGACAATTATACTTCGACATGAAAACAATAGACAAAAACTAAAAATCCTTGAAGCATTATACATCAAACAGTTGAAACCCAACCTAAACGAAATCAATTATGGCATCTCTACAAATATTCTTAAATGTCTATAAGTGGTAACAAGAAGCCATTGGTTTATACCAACGGCTTTCCATACTTCATACTTCTCCAATTCACTCTCGTGTGGTCATGTGTGACGTCATGAGATGCGGTGCGATTTTCGCTTCTAGCGTCTAATACGTGTATGAATGAAAAGATGCTGCCTAAATACACACACAATATATATATATATATATATATATATATATATATATATATATATATGACAAAGTGAAAAAAGTTTTTATGCGACAAGTTTCGTCCTTTTGGGGAACATAAGAGTTTAATTGTTACGGTGGTAACATTATGCATGCGCACCAGCATGCTGGACGCTGGCAATTTTAAATGAAAATTATAGTTTTATGTAAACGGGTATAAGATTAAGCCAATTTCATTTAGATTCTAAGTTGTTTTTCTTTTTCTTTCCATCACTTTTGTTAGTAGGTGTCCCGCAATGTAAGAATAGAAAATCTGCCAGGAATTGTGAAATGTAAAACTCAGGGCGAAATTTTTATTACACAAAAACCTTTTTTCCACTTTGTCATATACTTTTCCCCAATATTTTTCTTGGTATATAAAAATTTGTACACACGAAAATAGATAGAAATAATCTGTCACACACACACACACACACACACACATATATATATATATATATATATATAGGATGTCTCAAAATAATGTATACATTCTTTAAATATTAATAGTTAATAATACATTAGCGTGATGTGAGAACTTATATGGATGAAAATATGCAAAACAGATGGATTGGAAAAAGAGGGACAGTTGAATACCCCCCTAGATCACCAGATTTGACACCCTTGGATTTCTTTTTGTGGGGTTTTCTAAAAAAGCACGTTTGCAGCAGGAAACCTGAAACAATTGCTGAAATGAGAGTAGCAATTGAAGAAGAATGTGCTCAAATACCAGAGGAAATAATACTGGACGTTTGTAGGTCTATTTCTTCAAGATATGAAAAGTGTATTGAACAGAACGGCAACCAGTTTGAGCACTTGACGCGAACTCATCATTATATGAACATTCTGCCATTGTCCCAAGTAGCTTTTATCTTATTAAAGTTAATTTTCTATGTTTTTTGTATATTTTACTCTAAAAGTCTTTAAATTTGTATTCTTTCTCTTGTATTAATCATATAGTCAAAATACATAAATTGAATAAGTTATAACGATTCAAAGAGTATATACATTATTTTGAGACACCCTATATATATATATATATATATATATATATATATATATATATATATATATATATATATATATATATATATAAATAAAAGGAGAGATTATAGTAGTTCCAACGAGAGAAAATGTGTGTATATAAAAAGAAGAGAGAAACCTGAACGTTTTTGGTTGAAATGTGGATATTTTTTGAAAAAAAAACAAAACAAGAAAATATATATATATATATACAAGAATATATATATATATATATATATATATATATATATGTGTGTGTGTGTGTGTGTGTGTGTGAAAATATATAGAAAATAGGAAAGAACTCGTTAGGTAAATAATCCAAAGTTCTTTAGTATTTTTGTTATTATTTTAAAAAAATAGTGCTCGATACAAAAGTAGAGCATATATATAATTATCTATTTAAAAATATGTTCTCATGTTTCATAGTCTGAGTTCGTGTCGGAAATAGAAATTTAATTGTGACAGCTACTAAAAGAAACGTCGAAAAACTAATACA